GAATTGAATTTGATCATTGAAGTTCTTAAGTATTACCTTTGAAATTTGGTTTGAAAGCGATTGTTTAGTCCTCGCACATGCATATGTCAATTCATTCTGTTGAAGTACATAAAATTTGTTGAAATTATGTTTTTAGAACAATTTTTAAACAAAGAAGGAAGAAGCTATTGTAGCTGTTCCACTTTAAACTTGAATTTGAGCTTTCCTGTTAGAAGTTACCGTTAAAAGGAATCAAAGTTCACTTCTCAGTGATTGTTTTGTTTAGTCGTCTAGTGTGTATATGCAGCTGGCGCGACTCAACGTTTTTGTGTAGCCAAGATATTATTTTTCGATTAGAGATAGGTGCACATGCGTAAGATTTCAGGTGTCAAAATTCAATTCAATCTTTACTGTATGTAGTTTTAGTTGTGGATTGTTTGACTTTTGGTATGTATGTATGCAAGGAATATGCAGATGGTCTGAGTCTATTTCTGTGTCTTTGTCATTCTATGTAACTTTGTTGTTCCTGTACTTTCATTTACATGTAATTAGAGATAGATGCACAGCAGATTCAGGTACCGAAGGTTGAATCCCAGCTTGCTAAGGTAGGACGGTAGCTCTCGGGTTGCGTTTGATGGATAACTTAATTACGCCACTTGTTCCAGCAGAATTAGGCTCTGCTACTTAATAACCCCTCGCCGGACAGATCATATTTCATGCGTCATATTGCAGGAGTGGGTGTGCTGTAGTGGCGGCGAAGGGGACGTAATTTTTATGTACAGCGTTGCACGTGCTCTCCGACGCGTTCCGTCAAGAGGCCGGCACTCAGGCGAAATTGCATCACTTAAACCCACAGTGATGGAATCAGAGATGTCTGTGCGATACGGGAGACGAGGGGATGAAAACGGTGTAAAAGTCACTGAATGATGCGTAAAGGACTTCTTGTGTGGATGAAGTAATGGGTTACATTTATAAAATCTATCTGTGTGGAAAAGTGATGCCTTGAGGAAAGACTCTACCACATATAATCTGAGGATTAGGCCACATTTTGTATTCTTGCATATAGGATTCGGAGTTCTCTGGCAACTTTTTTTAGGCTTTGCCAGAGATTGTGTCACTAGGTAGTTTGTAAACTGGGGCATGGATTCTAGACAGTTTGAATGTTTTGAAAGGTATTGAGAAGTTCCAGTGCATCACACTGTTGACCCTGTGCTTGAAACATTCGCCATGATGACAAAATCAATAAGAAAAACGTATAACCTTGTAAGGTCAGTAGACTAACTTTCACCCCTCCACACTACAAAATGGTATAATCCAAATGGCACGATCATTCATGGAAGGGTATATTAGGTGCATTTGCTTGCAAATGTTGCGTTTGTACGGTAGTTTCCAAGTATTTTCTTGCCAACACCACTTTTTACAATGAAGTCAAAATTTTCTTTAAATCAAGTTTAAGACTATCCAATATCCAAGACTAGCAATATCTTCTATGTATTTAGGTCAATGAACTTTTATCCTATGGCTGGTTGGCTATCTTGCCAAAGGAATGACGCACTGTGAAAAGGAAAACTGCCCAAAACGAATTTATATCCTCATTTGGAAGAAAATATAAACATGTAACCAAGCAGACAATTATTTTAATTTCCACCAGGGGTAAAATCTTCAATCTAAACACATAAACATCTCATTAGGATGTTGAGTCTGCCATTGAGTTGAAACACATGTGCCAATGTACTTCAAAAAACAAAATACATCTAAAGCCCATATTTTGCCTGCAGAAATCCTTAATTTCAAAGGTACAGTCGTTCAGTCAGTGGGGATTTTTTTAATGGTTGAAGGAGTGTTTTTCTTGTTGGTGTTTTGTGTTTGCAGTTCAAATGATGATGATGATGATGATTGGTTAGTTCATGGGGTGTCTTTTACCTTCATGGTTTATTGGAAGAAATTCAACACAATCTGACATACAAATGTAGCAGTCAGCGGACTGAATTAGTGTCAGACTTTACAGAAGGTATAAGTAAATCAATCAAGTGCATAAAATCTAATACCAGTAACACCTAAAATATACTCACACATATTTGAATATTTAATTCCCAGATTATTATGTAGTAGAGTAGTACTGTAATAGCCTGTATTACATTGGAAATCTAGTCAGCGTAGGTTGACAGCACGTGGGTGGGGAAGATTGGCAGAATCATGAGAATGACAGGTCAAAAGGCCAGGCACAGGAAATAATGTGAACTTGAAGGCCATAAAAACCCAAATAAGTCTGAAATCTCTGACTTCTTGTTATTTTTTTTTCTCCAATATTATAAATTGTAGGTTGCAGATGGGTGTTTTGACTTTTGAGCTCTGGTCTGTCATTCACAATTGCAAATTAAATTAACTTATTCAAACAAACCTGTCTATAAGGGCCAATCAAAAAACCTGTAAGAAACATGGTCTCATCGTAGTCTTTATGAAAGTTTATCACAGATCATGGCGCTATCGGATGGATAGATCATTCCTTCAGTTGTCCAGACTGTCCAGTTCCCTGCCCCTTACCTTTACCCTGCCCACTGCACATACATGTACGGGGGCGGGTACAATTAAACGAATATCAACCCTTATGTCCAGGCCATTTACAGGTGAGTATATCTGAAGCCTCTTTGAGACTGCTTTCAGTGTGGCCACATTACGGCGCGAAATGACTCGCAAATTGGTCACATTCTGGGGCATGTGACGGCTTTTGATGTCATCATTTGACCACTCCATGTTTAAATGGCTTTATGATATTAGAAGAAAAAGGTCAGGATTTAAGTTCAAGAAACTGAAACAAAGTTCAATCTTTGTATAACCAACAGTTACTGTTCATCAGAAAAGTCAGTGATGTATCGAACATACATCGTATATCGTAATACAAAGAACAGGAAAAATTTTTTTTAATTTGTCAAAGATGCATTTATGTGGGATGTTATTGTTCTCTTTTGTTATCATTGAATATCTGTAAAATCCAGTTGACCCTTGACCATACAATTGTCCCCATACTAAGCTCTGTTTTAATTTCTACATTCGAAAAGATGACAAAATAGCTGTTAATTTTCACATTCCATTATTGTACAGGAATTCTCGTCTAAGGACAGGAGGTTGATGAATATCCCACATTTTGCATAACAAGTGTGTCACGTGTGTTGTGTGATTTTTAGTAGAAATGTACATGTATTTTTTTAGGGTTTTTCTAAATGTTAAAATCTTGGAATGTTGCGGGAACTGTTTTCAAACTGTTACTCCTTCTTTTCAACTGATATTGATGTGTTTATGACACATTTGTTTGTTTGCACCATTTTTTTATTCGTGAAAGCTCAAATCGTCTCCTTGAGAATCTTAAAGGAAGAGGTTTCGAGAATTTTTAAGACTTGGCACCGTTTCACTCTGTATATTTTTGTATCCTACAACATTCGGTTGATGAACCCAAGTTCTTGCAACAATCGCAAGTCGTGTTCTATATATATAAAAATTATCGGCTGATTATTGGCGCAGAGTTTTGACCCGGACAGAAAAACGGGCATCCGCCACACGTGGGCACCTTTGCTCACCTCAACTCGCTCTCTTGTTCTAAAAATGTGACTATTGGCGTAGAGTTTTTGACCTTGAGTTGCAAACGGTAGCACGTGTAGGTACTTTTGTTTTTTGGATGGTGTACATGTAGCTCTGGCGCTGATGTCACGTTGACTATGCAGTCCTCGTGTGGTCAGAGTGGACTCAAAAGTGCGTCCGGGACACACGTTTTCAGCCGGGTGAAGACAGAGAAGTGTTTAAAGATTTGCATAGCCAGCACACGACATGAGCATAGACCCAAAAGCCAACTGAATATATATAGTAGTCGAGTATTGTCGCCTGACACAATTCAGCGAAAACTGGTCGGTACGTACGTCAGGCGTTCGGCAGGCTTTCGACAGCTCTGTATTGGTTTTCGATGGAGTACTTTGGACAGACAAAGGGGGTATTTCATCTTTTGTTTTAAATGCAGTTTGAGCTTTTACTAGAGGTTGTCATGACATTGTTACTAGGACTAGGTCATGGTCTATAATTTTATCATGACAATTTTGCCATTTATAAGTAATTATAGGTAAGTAGCCCTGTTTTATGCTGCCAGTGTTTTAGCTTGCACAGTTTTCCTCAAAGTTGACGTTCCATATTTTTTAGGCAAAATTACAGCTGCTGTAATCTTTGTAATGGATACCTTCCTTGTACATGTACTTTTCATTGATCTGAATGTGATGGCACAAAATGCAGTTGAGTCATCAAATGTGTAGGGAACACATTTCATTGATGTAAATGACACTCAGTATAACTTGCATAAAGAGAGTGGTTGTGCCATTTGGCTAATACAAATTTAAATTTACATACATTTTCTTTGTACATTTGTACCTGTTTAAGATTAGAGTAAAACGTCACCTGTATGGTTGTAGAGTTCTTGAAGTTAAGGTGCGACAAAAAAAGAAAATGCTATACACTTTTATCACATAATGATCGTTAGCTACCCCTCCAAATGATGTGACAGTCAGTTGAAAATCATTCTGCAGTGTAGGCTATTTTTCTGTAATTGTTGATGTTTTCAGTGGTGTTTATTTGTAACGGGTTGAACAGAGCTAAGTTAATTCAAGCTATGGACAGCTTGTTATACAAAAGGACTATCAAGAATTGTTGGACACCTGCCAGATTTCCTTGGTACTGCAGTGGAGTTTTTGTTTCTCATGTTCTACTAACTTCTAGACATGCTATGGTCGTAATTTCTGATTGGTAAAATGCATTAGTGTCCAGGAAGGAGTGGCATAGGTTTTGGTCCACTACCTACTTTCCTTGGAACTGCAGCAGAATTTTTGTTAAAGCCTTTCTCATGAATGTCATTCTCTTGTGTGCACCGTACAGGAGGCGGGGAAGAAGTGGCATAGGTTTTGGTCCCCTACCTACTTTCCTTGGAACTGCAGAGGCTTTTTTGTTAATCATAAATGTCATTCTCTTGTGTCTTCTCCGTACAGGAGGCAGGGATGCCCAACGTTCTACAGGAAACAGCGACAAGTGAAAGCGCGCAACCGACGAGCGGCCGGGTGGCGGGGGGAGGGGACGCGGCGACACAGAACGCACACGGCGCAACGGAAGCCGACCTGGCGGCGCACCTCCAGCAACAGCAGGTGGGTACTTCAGAGAATCAGAAATTCTCGTGAGTTTACATTCACAAGTGATTGGTCATTAATTATCCTGATGAAGGCGACAGTGAAAATTTAAACCCTTGTGTTGGAATAAAGTTTAACATTTTACTATGATCACTACCAACACAGATGAATTTTCATGATAAAGCAATTCTGCCAAATATACATTGCAAGTTAAAAAGCAGGACATGTATGTTTCTAGTTGGATTCGGAAGAAAGATGATGATGATGATTGGCATTATGATGATGACTGGTGTTTGGCCAATTTCAAAATTCTGACTTGATTTTGAAAGTGTCCATCAGAAACCCATGCATTGTAATTATACAGCACATGAAAAATCACAAGTGGAATCGGCGCATCAGTCTTGGTTGTGAAATGCTTCTCCAAGACTTTATCTTTCTCCAACTTCTCTAACTACATCCTCTGGAATGTGATTTGGTTATGTACAACCTTGATGTGTCATTGTTTATTTCCACTAATTTAAACAAAATAAAACACAAGACAGGGTTGATCTTAGACAGAAACCTTTGTCTAAATAACAGGCAGTCACCTTTGCCTTACCAAAGCACCAGGAAGAGAAAACCGAGACGCTGCGTGAATTCCTCATCAGGTACAAGCAGTAAACAAAGTATCTCAAAACAAACACCCGACCCCAACTTTGTATACGCAAGGCAGCTTAATCTTAAACCTTGCTGATCTGGGAATTAGACATGTTTAGGACTTTATTAAACTTGAAGTTGACCTTGCTTGACCGCCACCAGCTGTAGAAACAACGGGTAAACTTGGGGTGCCCCGCGGGACGAAACTCAGTCCCGGAGAAATCCCTGAAAAATTCAAACAAGGATCGTTTTGGAATTTATTGTTTTGTTACTGGGTTGTTTGGCTTGGTCTCCTGGTTAGCTTGACGTTTGAAACAGTTTCCTGTGGCCCAGGTACAAAGGGGTGGTTTGGTTTTGAGCTGTGTTTTTAAATTTTACTGCTGAAACTAAATTAAAGTGTGTGGTGCCATGCATAGATAATGTCTGGCATTATGTTTCTCATGATTACAAATACTGCCTGCACCGCAGTCAACCGCATGATGATGATGAGATTAAACTTTGTTTCCTTTTAGACTTCCCCCAAAAAACTGTCTTCACTATTTGCATATCAATCAATAGTTCTTGCTTATAAACATGTCTTTCTTCACATGTTCTGTAGTGTCACTGACGAAAGGTAGTGGATGCTACCTGAAATGTCTGACCGCTTCCAACATCATATAAGTTGCTTGAGTAGCTGTTTTTTTGGCACAAATACTGTTTTGTATGCATTTTTTGGGGTATGGTATAAAAGCAGAAGATAATGTTTCTATCCTGACTGGCTAGTGTGTTGTTGTAGGCCCTGTACCAAAGCTAGGATGCAACTGACTGTAAATTCAGTTTATTTTTGAATTTACTTTTAATTTCCCAATAGTAACAGAACAAGAAGTTTTCATTCTCATTGAAACGATTCTGTAGCACGGTTGCAATACAATGACTTCGATTAAATCATTTATTACCCAGTGTTCTGCAGAATAAGTTATGCATATTTGGTGACCTGTACCATACATGTACGTTACGCGTGTTGAGTGGCTTGACTAGTGGACACGAGATGGAGACGTCACATGTTCGATACTCGGCTGACGTTGTGTCCTTGGGCACTTTGCATGATTTTAACTCCCCCTACATCCTTATAAAAAGGCTATAGTACTACCTATACCTTCCTACATGTACCTACTGAATGTTTACTGTAAATCTTACAGATTGTGGCAGGGCTCTCGCCAGCTCAAAATCTTTTTCTGTCAGCCCAGGTTCATAATCGGACCTAAGGAAGGAGAATGCTCGCAATTTAGGGGAGTCCAGGGACAAATTTTGTATTTTCAAACCTATAAAAAGACAATTTCCCACATTTTCAGACTAAGGCAAATCATGGGGTTGAACGTGGTTGTTGGCAGTCCTTTGGAAGACTTTTGCCAATTTTGTCCATCAAGGTTGACTAATTGGTTTAACAAAATTCCGTCACACGCACAGTTCCTGCAATTTTTGCTGGAAAAACTGGTGCAGGCTAGAGCCTTGGATTGTGGTACTGTACATTTGTATGTTACTATTCTGAGAGCCTGCTATGTCATGATGTACGCATATGTGTAATTTTTTTGTGCACCTCAAATTGGAGCTGTACACCAACAAGTCTATAACACTACATATACCTACCTACTTAAATCTTACAGACTGTGGTACTATATACATGTGTATGTTACTATTCTGAGAGGCTGCCATGTTATGATGTTATAGGCCCTGCACCAAGCCATCCTGCTCCAACACCAACAACAGCAGCAGGCGCTGAAAGGGGCCAAGCCTGGAGACAAGGGTGTGCCAGTCTCTGCCGCACAGATGCCACAGGTACACCTTTTCATTAATCATGGCTCAAAATACTGGAAAGATGTGCATAAGATTTTTGTGCACCTCAAATTGGAGCTGTGCACCTAATTTTTGACTGTGGTCTCATCAAAACCTACCTGCATACCAAGTGTGACAATCCATCTAAGCCCTCTTGAGTTATTGTGTTCACACACGCGCACAGAGACACACATGCGTGCTCATACACACACACACAAAGAAAAACCATGACCTTTCTGTTAAAGGTAATAAGAGATACAACTGTACATCATGTGTACCTGAATAAAGAGATCCTTTTTACACAACTGAGTGTTTTTCAGCCCGTGTGTCACCAAAACTTGTTGTGTAAAAGAACTCTGTTCAGTAACTTACATGTACCAACCTCATGAAACTGTACACCTCTTTCTGCTGCAGGTATTGCTGGCTCCCCAGCAGCTGACACCTGTTCAGCTGCAGCAGATCCTGCAGCAGCAGGTGTTGTCACCGCAGCAGCTGCAGCAACTCATGGCACAACAGACACTCATCCAACAACAGGTATGTTCTGACAGCAGCCATCAGGATTGGAACTGGTCCTCTGCTGCATTCTGTGATGACATTGAATCTGAAAGGAGTGTTAAGTCGGGAAATTATTTAAAGCTGTCTAGTGATGATGCCCCTACTGTACTTGGTGGCAGTGCGTTGGAAGGAAAATACATTTTTTGAACACCTCAATCCTTGGTTGATAACTCTGGTATTTTAATGCAACAGCTCCTGAGAAATTACAACAACCAACTCTCAGTGAAACAGATCTCTGACCTTGTTAGTAACAAGGGGAAGTGGAGGAAACTTGCAGATGCCAGCACGTCAGCAGAACATACTGCACCTCTGCGAAACCCATAGTGTATTGTGCATAGCACTTTGGCAGAATGTCTCATATAAGTTTATATTCAGGTATATAAGGTTAACATCCCAACTGTAGTTTTCAAATATTGTGGCGGAGAAGATATCATCTGCAACAGAAAAAATTTTGATGCAATGTTGACCAAACATCCAGCGAAAACCGAGAAGAATCAGAGTTTCGCACAGGTGCAAGTGCGGATTGATGATGATGATTTTGAATCATTTCTTCTGCTCGGACATAACATAACATAACATGGACTTCTCTGTATTTCCCCTGCCAGCAGCAGCTACAGGAGCTGTACGCCAAGCCGGGTGTGAACAAGGACCAGCAGCTGAAGATGCAGCAGCAGCTGCAGGAACAGCTGCAGCTCCAGATGCTGCAGCAGCAGCAGGCCATGGCTGCGCTCGTGGCGACCACCGGCGCCGGGGGGAAGCAGCCCGACGCCAGCAAACAGCAACAACTGCAGCAGATGGCTCTACAGCAACAACTCTTTTTACAGGTTAGTATTCACAGAAATAGTTTCATCCAGTTGGTAAGGTATAGGATGCAGGAGTTTTCTGAAAATACCTTTGACCCAGTGTTGACGTCACACTTCAAAGAAGCCACGTGACAAGCCTAACTGGGTCAGTCTACTGAGGAAGACCAGAGTGACTGGTCGAAAGCTCTAGGTGAGAGAATTTTTTGTGTTGGACCAAAATTTTTCACTTTAAACATGTAACTACCAACACAGATAAACTTTCATGATAGTATTTCCAAAAATAGTTTCCTCAGATTGGTAAGGTATAGGATACAGGAGTTTTCTTTTACACAACCAAGATTTCTCACCTAAATGCTTATGTTTCAGTATCTATCAGACACCTTCCTCAGAGGTTGCGGCTGGAGTTCTGCTTTTCTCTGCTATATGTACCCGATGTAGGTTAATATTACTCGCATTAGGCTGTGTTATCTCTCTTTGTGGGGCTGATTGGACCTCCACTTTGAGAGGTTGTGCCCATTTGCCTCTAACTCTGGAGGACGATGATTCCCATTCCCAGAACTACATGTACCAATAGGAGCTCAGGATTCTTTATTACAGTATGAAAATCAGTCCAATAGGAGCTCAGTATTCTCTGTCTCCCCTTAGGCTGGGAAGTTAAAACTGTGTGTCACATGCAGTTGTCAAATCATCTTTGGCGCCCCAACATTTAAAAAATTAGACTAAGGGATAGATGAAATAAGATGAGATGGGAGACATAGTGGAATATGCATAGGATAAGCAAGAAATTCACAATAATGAATAAAACATTCACGTCAAAGAAGAGGTGTGGAAGAAAGCTTTGATTTTTTGTCCTTGTCACAGATGCAACAGGCGCAGCAGCAGCAGTTGATCTTCAGACAACACGGCCTGGTCCAAACCCAGCAGGGTGTCGTACCTGTCCAGCTGACACAAGGTGAGGGGATCTAGAACAGGGCAGAATGTATAATCTATGTATCAAAAGCACCACCTATCTATTTTGTTACAAACTGCAGATGATTTTCTATCATTTATAGTTATCTTGACACCTTCTTTACTTGACTTAAATTTATCATATTATGTACGAATACAGCATTGTGTTTTGTTATTTTTAACCATTTTGATTTTGAACTTGTACTAATCTCAAGTTTTTTTCTTTTCAAGGAGTAAAATTTGAAATTTCTTTTCATTTCATCATTTTATTTCTTCCAAGACCTGTTTAGGAAGCATGCCTTGCACAAGTTGGAGTTTGTGCTGTTCTATCTATTTATCACATTTTTATTTCAGCAATTTTTTTTCTGCTGTAGGGAGTAGGTCAAATGACAGTCTTTCCTTCAGGGTTCAGTTTTCCCCCTCCCCACCTTGGATCATATGGAACAAGTCTTTTTTTCAGTTCCGCCCCCTATCCTCACTGAATTTGGTACAGTCCAGTGTCAGTCTTCCACCCCTTCCCAACCCTAGATGACATGGATCAACCCAGGTACATGTCTATAGCATACATGTATGCATGGTACCTCCCTCCCCTCCAAGCACTTTCTTTTTGATTCCTAACATTTGTTTCCTTCAACAGTCTTTATCCCCCTTTAGGGTGTTAGCATTATATAATTCACCCCTTCAGTGTCCCTTCCCTCCCCCCGGATAAAGTGGAACAGTCCAGTTGTAGCACACGCATGGTGCCCCCTCCCTCCAAGCACTTCCTTTTTTATTCCTAACATTTTGTTTTCTTTATCCCCTTTTAGGGATTTGATATGATATAATCTGTCCCTTCAGTGTCCTTCTATGTTCCCTCCCTCCCCCCGGATGAAGTGGAACAGTCCTGTTGTTGTAGCATACGCCCCCCTCCTGCCTCCTTCCCTTGTAAGCACTTCCTTTTTGATTCCTAACATTTTGTTTCCTTCTCCCCTTTTAGGGAGTTGATATAGTATATTTTAACACCTTCAGTGTCCCCTCCCTCTCCCGGATGAAGTGGAACAGTCCAGTTGTAGCACACGCCCCCCCTCCTGCCTCCCTTCTGTAGGTCTGTCCCCGGCCGAGATCCAGGCACTCTGGACGCAGCTGACGGGGGGCGCCGCAGGGATAATCCACGATCCTACCAAGGCCACTAACAACATCACTGTCAATGTCGCAGCAACCTCCACCACCGCGGGGGGTACCGCAGCCGCCGCCGCAGCCACCACCATCCCGACGTCACCGTCCATACCAGCCGCGCCGGTCATGAACGGGCAGGCCTTCGCCTCCGCGGCGGGGGACGCAGCCTTGCTGCACGCAGGACTCGTCATGGCCAACCCTCACACTATCTCCAGGTGAGCAGAAAAGGTTTGGAGAGTAGTTTACCGTCAGAGTAGTTTACTAGTCAGATTTCCATGTACATAGATTTTGTGTTTGTTTTTGGCGTCATGGCCAACCAACACACTATTTCCAGGGGAGCAAAAAACGTTTGCAAAAAACATGCAGAAAGTAGTATAGAAAGAGCTGGAGGGAAAAAACAACAAACGAAAGGTTACATTTGTTTACCTTTGCATATGGTCTGCTTTGTAAATTCTTACTCAAATACATTAATATATAATGAATATGTCTAAATTCCTCCTGCTATAAAATTGCAACATGATTTAACCCAACACTAGTTACCATGGTGACAGATGTTTGGTTCAGGTCATTGACCTTATTTGTTTGGAGAAGAAGAAGAAGAGGAAGAAACTGAGCAAAAACAATATGTTTTCCTTCAGTAAACATAAACACCAACTGTGTATCAATCTTAAAGCAGTCAAATCAGATTTTTTGGTTACTTTTGTGTGTAGAGGTGTGTAAAGAAATTCTCAAAGTGACCTGTGTCTGTTTCTGTTTCAGCCCGATCGCGGATGGCCGAACCTCTCCAGGACACAACCACCCCCTGTACGGGAACCGCATGTGCAAGTGGCCGGGCTGTGAGGCTGTCTGTGAGGACTTTGGCCTCTTTCTCAAGTAAGGATTGCTTCAATAGATTCAACTACTAGTAGTTGTACAATTATATGGGCCCTTTTTGTTCATTGTATAGGCCCATTTTATTGTAATGGCTGGCAAAGCTGGCAGTCACTTTCAAGTTGTAAAATGTCAGAATTTCTATGTGTTATGGTAATACCTTTTTTTTACAAGTCTTAAAAAATTTCCCTTGAAATAAGCCTTTGAGCATGGGTTTACAAATAAACTTTGCAATGATTTGAATTGATTGTTAAATGATAGCATAAGATGAACTAGAAATGAAACCTTTATTTTAAACTAGACAAAGCAATCATTTTCATGTCTTGTTTGTTGCCTGACAGGCACCTGAACACGGAGCATGCTCTGGATGACAGGAGCACGGCCCAGGCCAGGGTGCAGATGCAGGTGGTGGCACAGCTGGAGTTACAGGTCAGAACTCATGTCTGGAGCATAAACATGTACTGTAGACTGATTCAAGATCATGAAAACTGACAGCTCCTGCATACATACTCTTATCAATGCTTTATAAGTACTAAATCAATGCTTGATAAGTACTAAGTGACTTGTCTCACATAATTTATCATAAAGATATATTGTATAGCTTTTAGATGGATCTAGCATTTTAGCATTACAAGTGATCACATGTGTATATTAGGAGTATGCTTGTTAGTACACCACACGTCAGAAATGACAACTATACATGTGTCTACATGTATATTGGTTAGTAAAATGCATTGTAAATGAATCATTGTGTTGTCAGAGATATATGCATAAAGATCATGTAGCACCTGGGACTTGTAACCGATCACATTATATAATATATTCTGTTGTTGCCAGGGCTAGCCCTTTTTGATAGCCTTCAGCTAATAGACCAACCAAGTACAGTAGGAGCATTGTCATTAGATAGCTTTTAACAATGTGTAGAGCTGGATGTCCAAGGGCTAGGTGTAACAAGTCGATTGGTGTAATGTAGCCAGCTGCCGCCGCACCGCGTGCCTGCGAAGCTGGTGTGTTACGTCGAAAGGTGGTTTTACCGGCTATACAGATACAGAATAGGGTAGCCTTTGCTGTACATGTACATGTATGTCCTTATGTTATACAGCCATTAAATCCAATGAAATGTACTTTTTCAGTTGGCAAAGGAGCGTGAGCGTCTGCAGGCCATGATGACCCACCTGCACATGAAGCCGGCCGAGCCGAAGGAGCCTGTGAGCACGATTGTAAACCTCCTTCCTTCCCAGTCTACTACTGCAGGCACACACCCACACCTCCAAGTTTGTCACTACCGCCTTATTCAGCATGGGTTTCTTGTGGTGTTAAAGTACATGTACATCGTTGTGCATCTTGTCGTGAGAGATACTAGTAAAGATTTGTTGTGACATCAAAATATAGGCATGCAAGATATCACAAAAATAGGCCAATCCTGACTGTCCGTCAAAATATACGTGTATTAGCAGTTCAGCCAATGAGAGCATGGCAGTTAGCAGTTCAACCAATGAGAGAGTAGCATTTGCATGTCTGTGAAATGTTTGCATTACATGTTTTTATTATGCGTCTCTACGTTTTGAACGAGGTGGGCTGGGCTATAGGATCAGTCTATAAGCCACCTCACAGTTACTGTATGAGTTACTGTTAAAGTCATTTCAAAGAAGTTTTTAACAGCAATAGCTTAGTGGCACAACAGAAGGTGAAGAGAGCTAAAACTAGAAAGAATGTATCGAGTACTAGTATATTGCAATAGCGCCACCTGTCTATTAGCTGACAAACTGCAAATAACTTTTTATCATCATAGTCATCTCGGCTCCATCTTTACTTGAATACTATAGAGTTATCAAAATTAGAAAGATTTGCCCACCTATCAAGCTGACAAACTTTTGCTTGCCTACAACTAGAAGGCTATCAAAATTAGTGAAATTGAAGAACCAGATTTTGTCTAATATCCCACTTCCCTCACTACACAGGATTCAAAGTGGATGCTTTCCCAAATGGAAAGGGAGGCTAGAAGCAGGGTACAGCCGATCCCTTACTTGTAGTTCAGCCTCTCCTTTTTAGTTCCTCCAACTGATCGCATGATTGGCTGAGCGTAGCTTAGAGTAGGACGTAGCAAGCTTCCTAACCTGTGTGCCTCACTCTATCTTGTTTGGGAATGCTGGTCTACTAACACCATTTGCCTGGAGATTTAACCAGGGAAAGAATGTATAGAGTACTGTAAATCACAAGTTTTTCGCTGTACTTTTATATTCACTGTTTTCGCAGTCACTTCTGTACAGCAAATTTATTAATACTGTTAACAAATAATTCGCGGACTTTCTTTTTACTGCACCTGCCACCCCCGCAAACATCTAGCTCTACAAACATGTCAATTTTTTTCAGACCATGAACTTTTGGTGCCAATTTTCTGTTGAACTCAACTCTCAACTCTTTCTTCTATTAAAATGGTTGCAGTGCCTGTTGACTGGTTTAATCTCTCCCTCTAACATGCATGACTTTGCATGTCATTCCAGTAAAACTTGATTTTATGGATACCAGCCTCTGGAAAAAAAAACTTACAGAACATAACTTCTCTTTTCGGGCAGTTGACCCCCATGCAAAATAGACTCTTCCCATTTTATAGCGAGTGAAAAGTGATTAGATTTAGTCATCCATAAAATCAACTCTTTGTTGCCTGTATTCTCAGTACTAATATGTAGAGTTTACTTGTTCCGACACTCACTTTCTTACTTATAATTTCTTCCAGATCACTCCTGTCATGTCCAAGCCCGAGCCGCCGCCCCCGTTGCCGCCTCCCTCGCCGGTCGTTACCCATGATTCCACACCGCACACGCCCACCACCCCAACGACTCCGGTCATGACGGCGCCGGCCACGCCCACGGCCGTCGGTCCGATCCGCCGCAGGGCCAGCGAGAAGTACAACCTCCCACTGTCAGAAGGTGGGGCGTGGAGTGTTTAGTAGCCTGGGTAACCTGTTACCAAACCTACATGTGTGTATTTTAGCTTCCAAGTCCTACATGTACATCTTCTTCACAAGGATGTAGTACTCGGGAGCTAAAATAACCAGGCTAATGTTTAGTAGTTAATAGATAATCAATCAATCAGTTAATTGTTAAAAACAAGAGACATGCAAGCAAAGTGGCACAGCATTAAAACCTTTATGAATTAGAAATTGAAGTTTTTTTTGTTCATTCAAATGTACATGTATATTTGTATATTTACATTGTAACAGTAACTGTTACACTTTGTATTATTTTATGCTGGACTTTAGGAAGAATTATGAACTTCCTAGAAGTATAACTATGGTTGCATTTCTTGTTTTAGAAATCCAGCGAAACCATGAATTCTATAAGAACGCCGACGTGCGACCACCGTTCACCTATGCTTCTCTCATAAGACAGGTGAGGATTGAAGGTTATGGTATTTTAGATATGTCGAAATTCATGAGCTGTTTAATCTCAGCAATGACCTGTATAGGTCTGATCAAACTAAGGGAAAGGTTCCCAAGATCTAGCTACAAATTTAGGTGTCTGGATCATCAAGCTACAAAGTTAGGCACCTGGATCATCATTCTTATAAGTAATAGCTACAAAACTAAGCACCTGGATCATAACTACAAAGTTAGGCATCTAGATCATAACTAAATTAAGCATCTGAATCATAGCTACATAGTGAGGCAGCTGGATCATAGCTATAAAGTTAAGCTGGATCGTAGCTTCTCGTAATAATCTTCTCCAAGGCTCGTCATGTCATAACTTTGTGGTTTGTATCCCAGGCGATCATTGAATCTCCGGAGAAACAACTCACCCTCAACGAGATCTATAACTGGTTCACGAGAACCTTCGCGTATTTCCGACGGAACGCAGCGACGTGGAAGGTATGTCATAGAATTCTCGCAAGTTGAAAATAGAGCCAAATGTGAAAAAAATTGCTCTATCCATGATTGAAGTGAGAAGACGATGCTGTATGTTTTATAACAATGTTATTATAAAGATTTCACATTACTGTGATTTTAACAAAGGTACATCTTGTATGATTTTGAAATAGGGAATCTGGTGTTTGAGTTTGCTGTTATTTATTATAAGCCTGTTGCTCTCCAAGTATTACTCCTGCCAGACCTGATCAATTTGATTATAACTTATCAGCTTTAAAAAGAAGTAATTTCTAGCAACAAACTAAGATTGTGTATGATATTTGATGATTTTTGAAAGTCATGGGTAACAAAAGTTCAGATTTTAAAAAAATCATATCTATGATGTCTGCTGTTATATCGATAATTAGATTGCTCTGGTCTTGCCTGGATTATTCTTTTGAAAAAGATTATCTGTTGTAGAAAATGTGATATGAAATGGTTTCATGTCATACATTGTGGCATAGTTTTGTATGGGGAATCAAGTTCAACACAATATATATTTAAATACTCTGATAATAATGCATGTTGAATGTGTGTATTCCCTTTCTCTCTCCCTCTGTATTGATGTAGAACGCAGTGCGCCACAATCTTAGTCTGCACAAGTGTTTTGTACGAGTAGAAAATGTAAAAGGGGCCGTTTGGACTGTGGATGAAATCGAATTCCAAAAACGGAGGCAACAGAAAATGAGTGGGTATGTGGAATGCATTGTGCGTCAACGAGGGACGAAGCAACCCCTTCCAAATGCTCAAAAGTTGTCTGCAACACATTTGAAGTAGCTACCGTAAAATGTGATACTCAAGATATCATTTGAGGCCATTATTGGAAGAAACATTGTATACAAAACATCAGAAAATGCGCTAAAAGACTCAGACATTCATGAAATCCCTTTTGGACAGCAATTGCTACTACATAAATCTTGAAAACAAAATTTGGTACAATAGAAAAACAAAAGATTCTGTTCACCAGTCTTCTTGGCCTCTTGAAAAATTACATAAAACGTGTACAAAAGGGTGTAAGGTTCTGGTTATGTTTCCAAGACTCTTTTGTGCCTCAAGGAAGGGGTTAGAAGTCCCGGTTACTCCACACAACAACAGATAGCGACCATTCCATGCTGGCACGTACCCTTTATTACCGCGGTGTGGAGCATGGGGTTTTTATTTGGCTGTGCTTTCCTCTACACTTTTGTTTTTTCCCTTTATTTTTATGTTCTGCACGCCACGCCCTCCGCCCTGCCTGTTGTCTCGCAGAACGCTGTACGCTACAATTTGTCGGTTCACTCTTGCTTTCAAAGACTTGAGGACAGTTTCGGCTCGTATTGGACAGTGGATGATGAGGAATTTAAAAAGCGGCATCACGTTAAGCGGGGCAGGCCTAGAAAGTACCCACCTGATTATGAGCACGAGTAAGACGTCCCTGCATACATACGTTTTTACCGGCCGGTAGGGCTTTCTCCGAGCGTGGTCCACTTTGGTTTCCTTTTGGGTGGAGTTTCGCAATGAAACATTGTACAAAATCCAAAAATGAAATTATCTAAAGGTCTCACATCTGTTTGCTGTCATTTGCTGTTCATTTATTTGATACAAACTTCACTGAAATACATCAAAAGTGTTTTCTGTACCAAGATTTCTATGCAAATGCTTCTATGTTTGAAGAAACAACTTTTGGAGTGATGTTTTTGAGCAATGTTTTTGAAACACCGATACCAGAAGGAAGCCAGAAGTGACCATGCTACGAGAAACCTCTAGCAACGCTGCCTTTTTTCTTTACCACCCTCCTCAGCTAATTGCTGCTCTGCAAATGCTTACCCCACATTTTTCACTCTCCATGGCTGCTTCCTGCACACTAACCTCTAACAATATTCATGTTTCGCACTCCTAAACATCACCCTAGAGGAGACCATACTCTATACATGTATGTTGTCTAACACCCATGCATGTGAAGACTTATTTTTTTGCCTCTTTTTTTATGTGTTGAAGATGATATATATTGTATACATTGTATACATGAGTGTCACTCTGATAGAGTAGCTATTTTTCTTAAATAGAATGTAAATCACCCTTTTCTTGTCTTTTTGTTGCCAAAAAGTAGTATTCTAGTTTGATTTGTAAAACTGCCTTTTCGTAGGTAGATTCAGATTTGTACATGTTTTTGTAGTGTTGCGATAGTGCTTTTTACCAACTGCCCAGGAAGAAATAAACACCCTGACTACCCCCATATTTTGCTTTCAGTGAGCCCAAATCAGGCGACACTGACAAACTCATGCCTGAAGGTTGGAGTCTACCACTTGCTGGTAGGGGGTTTGGCCGGTCAGTACAATTGTGATTGAAATGTTCCTAGTCACAGCGTAGTTCAGAAGTGTGCATGTCATTTTCAAACTAAACTTGTTTGGTATAAAGGGTTAAGGTATAGAATCAGGGCTTATTTTGCGTATGAAAGGCTCTGTCCTTTGACAAGGCATGAAAATGGTTGTGGCAACACTAGTACCATGGAGGTAGAAAATCAGATATTTTAACTCCATGGTAGTACTCTCTGATACTTTCAAATGCGATATCCCAGACTGCATCACCCTGGACTACTTTGCAAAAGACATGCAAACTTCGGAGGCAACCTGATTTGAAACTTATATTTTCGTTAATATGTTTTTGTTGACTACCAGCATGTAGTAGACACTGTAGTGCCAGTATGACATAATCTCCATGCAGGCAAAATTCTCACATTTTTCACACCCCAGTCCAGTTACAAACTGTCTACAGGCTGATTTTGGGAGGCAAAAACATCTGCTATAAGGCAGTTTATTACAAAAATGAACAACAAGGAAAAAGTCACAATTTTCCCCACGTATCTTTGTGGAGATTATTATAGATAATGGCATGCATGTCCCGAGGGGTGATTGAAGAAGTCATCCGTGGGCAGTTAGTAGGAGGCATTATGGTCAAGTCTGCCCTAAGAAAGCCATGAATAGACCTTTTGACGGATCCCATTGGCATTGCATGCTGTGAGATGCGTGGTGTTATGGGTAGTGCAAGGGACAAGCAACATCATTCTTGTGACAACAACATGCATGTGGTGTGTGCTGTGGTGTGTAATTATATAATGGTAATGATTTGTTTGGCCCCAGAGCTAGCCACAGTACCCCTTATCTCCCAGTATATGCAAGGGGATCTGTGAACAAGTCTACATGTATGATAGCACTGTTGCAGCCTGCTAGCTATAGAAAATTCTATAACATGCAGGGCTCTCCCCAAGCAATGAAACAAGGGTGCTCCCCCCTCTCCCCAAAATTCTTGCACCTCTCCCAAAAATGTTCAAATTTAGGGTTTTCTCTTAGTATTTTCATGAAAATTCACTGATTTTTCATCAACTGATTAGGGAGCACCTTTCCCCTACGAATTTCTGGGGAGACCTCTGTGACATGAAAATCGTACGGTGGCCCATGACGTAAAGAGACCATGCCGTTACCATCAACCGTCAGTCATGAATGCAAAATGCTGACCGTACGTTTTGTGCCCCCCTCCCCCATTTGGTCCACCAGTCGAGGCATGGGCGGAGTTGTACCTGACCACAACCTGTATGCAGCCAACATCAATGCCAATCTACAGGTAGGCGCAGCTTTTCTCTATGAGGTAAGGACTTCAGAAACTTGCTCTGGTGCCTGGCACAGCGACACTAGTCTGTAGTTTAGCTGGTCTCAACGCTTGCAAATGTCACCCACCAACAGTCTCTACAATTTCTCTATCAATCAATCATGTGTGGACATCAAGAACTGATGCATGGTGGCTGTATACATCGACAGCCCTCTTTAGGATGTTCTATTTTCAGTATAGGACCTCCAGTTAGCCCAGGTGATCCCAAGACGTCCAATTTCTCTAGTATTGATACTTGAATTGAGAAAGTGTTGCAGCTTGGAAATGGGTGTTTTTTTTCTTATCTGGTACTGGTAAATACAGTACTGAAAAAGTTTTAGTCATTTATTGCTTTCAATTTCCTGATGTATTAAAAGATGGAAACTTTTGTACAGTTTTTGTATCAACATGTAGAATGGCAGGAAAGGCCACAGAATTTATATTAGATTATTCCTGAACATCAGTAATAGTCTTTTTTTTACAAGAATGTTTAAACTTAGGAGTTAGTTTTAGTGGTTTCAGTACCCAACAACATACAAATGTATTAGTAGGTAGGGTTGTTCAGTAGTCTAAAAATACCCAAGTGTGTCATATGTTTTAATTTACAGAAAGGAACTTCTGTTCAGAAAAATAAGCCATATTGTGAAGTACATGTATGTGAAATAATAGGGACTGTTGCAATTAGTACACATTGCTTTTTTTTAAGATTTAAGAATCCTGAGCCACCTTGTACTTAACACACTTGGCAGTAACATTAAAATGTACAAAAGGAAAATCACATCAGCAGAACTATACTAACACTGCCGCAAACCAAAACACTGCTGCATGGCTGCACGGTAGTCCGACTTACACAGAGCTGACCAGGCACCTTCTAGTAGTCTTCATACTAGTACCTCACATGCATGGATAGGGTACATGTAGTAGTAGTGTAGTCTACGCATGGTACATGTATATGTGGTCAGAAATACAAATGCCTGTGTTATGAATATGAATTTTTGTCAGAAATGATTGAATGAGTATGCGGCACATAATTATGTCCTGTCAACTTGATATGGTAAAGTGAGCTGAGTATGGTGTTAGTCCCAGTTATAGATGTCAAACATTAAAAAAGTAATCAGGAAATTGGCATTCGTGTACCCCCATACCACTGAGGCAGCAATTTTGAGTGCCCAAAAGCAAATTTGTAGTTGAGATGAATTCTACATGTATTAATGAATGTACTCTGTAAGAGTATGGAACACACAACACTACCTAACAGTGGTCTAGCCCCCTGCTGTAGTGATTGGACAACTGTGTGGCCCAAGGGCTACAGAAATGGAGATGAGCACCACCCCTATGCTCTGCACAGAGTGGAATGAGACCTTTATCCAAGTTCTAGTTTACCAATTACAACACGGAGATTCGTCTCTAGATAACCATGGGATTATGGGATAGGACTGAATTCTGCCCCGAGGGGACCATGGGAGGGGCAGTAGTTACTAACGTTGGTCCCCCCCTCTCTCCACAGGCGACGTTGGCAGAAAACAACCTCCCGCTGCTGAGTAGCGCCGCCACCGGCCTGGCTGGACCCCCCACGTTGCTTCCTGACAGGGACGGGTCCGAACACGTCCCCAGCGAAGAGGACTCCCCTCACATGTGAGTCGCAGATACTGTTAGAATTATGTTTACCTTCGCAGAAGGAAAACATGTTTTGCTCTGTTTCTTCTTCCTCTTCTTCTTCTTCAAACAAATAAGATGACCTGAACCAGACGCCTGTCACCATGGTAACTAGTGTTGGGTTACATCAGGTTGTCAGAATTCAATAATTTAAGCATTTTTATTACCTTCGCCAAGAAGGTTATGTTTTCGTAGGCGTTCGTGTGTGTGTCTGTCTGTCTGTCTGTCTGTCTGTCTGTCTGTAAACACGATAACTTGAGAAGGCTTAAATGGATTGACTTCATATTTGGTAGGTGGGTAGGTCTTGATGAGACCTCGAAATGATTAGATTTAGGGCCCCCTGGCGGCTTCTTATGGTACTGCAGCTGAACTTCCGGTTTTGATATCTCGTGATCTGGACGTGCTAGGGTCACGAAATTTGGATGGTAGGTAGGTCTTGTGCTGGGGAATAAGTGACATAGGTTTGGGCCCCCTATCGGCTTGCTCAGGAACTGCAGGGCCATTTCTTTGAAAATATTCATAAGAGGATAATTCAAGAACCGGTGGACGGATCATCATGATTTTTGTTATGTAAGTGGCTTAAGTGATGCTTGACATAATTATGCGACAATTATGCAAATCTGGACGTAATTTGCATAATTAATGAGGAAATTCGGTAAATCAGACTGCATTACATTATAGGACTATTCAAGCTTGAGACATATGTAATTGACAACGAGAAAAACACAGGAAGATATTAATTATGTAAATTAACACTTAATTTGCATAATTAATGAGAAAATGTTATAATTCCATAATGGTAACTGCCTGGAATTTCATACTTAGGGTATTTGCAAGTTAAGTGAATGTGAACATCATTAAACATAATTTATTCAAATAAGGACCTCATTTGCATAATTTATGAGGTAATGATAGAATGGCTTTCTTTTTTAAGATAAGGCTGTCTTTTATGGATAATATGATCAACTCATATAATTCATGCAAATGAGGATCCTATTTGCAAAATCAGGAGGAATAATCTTTACTTTGTCATAAAGATTAACATCATTTGGCGAAGGTATGAGATCGTGGGACTCTAGTTTTAAATATTTCACTCCATACCATGGTATGGATTAAATTTCTTGTTTTCTCTCGTCCTTCTTCCCTTCCTCCTTCTCCTCATGCCATTTCTTTAAATGGATTCAATTTCTTCATTTTTGGGCCAAATGACCTGAAATTTGCTATGGAAGTAGAATTGCAAAATACCCAAGATTTTTTTTAATTGTTTTGATATTGGCTTTTAGAATTGTTATTACCTTCGCCAAGAAGGTTATGTTTTCAGGGGCGTTCGTGTATGTGTGTGTCTGTCTGTCTGTCTGTAAACACGATAACTTGAGAAGGCCTTGATGGATTGTCTTGATACTTGGTAGGTGGGTAGGTCTTGATGAGACCTCAAAATGATTAGATTTTGGACCCCCTAGCGGCTTGTTATGGTACTGCAGCTGAACTTCCGGTTTTGATATCTCATGATCTAGACATGCTATGGTGATGAAATTTAGATGGTAGGTAGCTCTTGTGCTGGGGAAGAAGTGACGTGAGTTTAGGCCCCCTAGCGGCTTGCTCTGGAACTGCAGCGATATATTCTTGAAAATATTCAAAAGGGGATAACTCAAGAACCGGTTGACGGATCGTCGTGATTTTTGGTATGTAGGTAGCTTACGTGATGCTTAATATAATTATGTGACAATTATGCAAATATGGATGTAATTTGCATAATTTATGGGGAAATTCTATAAATCAGCTGTATTCCATGATAGGACAATTAAAGCTTGTGACATTGGTAATTGACAACGAAAGAAACACAGGAAAATATTGATTATGTTAATAATGACCTAATTTGCATAATTAATGAGAAAATTTTATAATTATGTAATGATAACTGCCTGGAATTTCATACTTGTGGTATTTGAAAGTTAAATTGAGGTGAACATCATTAAACATAATTTATTCAAATCAGGACCTCATTTGCATAATTTATGAGGAAATGCTAGAATGCATTGTTTGTTAGTATAAGACTGTTTTTTGGTTGAGATTATGATAAAATGATATAATTCATGAAAATTAGGTTCCTATTTCTTAAATCAGGGGGGAATAATCTAATGTATAATTTGTCAGTCATAAAGATTAACATCATTTGGCGAAGGTATGAGATCGGGGAACTCTAGTTTTTTGTCTGTTTTCCACCAGGAGCCCAACCGATGTGCAGGTGAAGGTTGAACCGGTGCAGGTCAAAATGGAGCCAGAAGAGGGTGCCCAAAGGCCGGGGGCAAATGGGGACAACAGGGCAGAGGAGGTGGAGTCCCCCAAATAACTACCTTCCTCCACTCCAATAACCAACCACTCAAAACACAGGGAGTTCTCTCCAGGCTAAACTGAGAAAAGAGGATACAGACTTTTATTTTTCCAGATTCAGTTTGAAAAATCTTCCATGCATCGTTGTAACAGGGAGAGCAAGAGGGAAAGGAAGAAAAAAAAAGACTCACCAAAAGTTAGCAATTTTTGTCTGTTTCCATGGCAACAACAAGTTGTGAACTTGTTTGCCTGATGCATACCAGCAGGCCTGGTGGTGACCTTTGACCTCTGAAAGAAGCGTTTTGATTGGCTCTCCCGTCAGTGTAGATAAACTTTCTTTTTAGATCCTCTCCTTTCTTGTTTCTTGCAGGCTAGTGAATTTTTAGCTATGTTGGAGGAAGCTTATTTGAAAATAAGTTGCTTAACCTTAGTTTTAGTTTTGGAAAGAAAGAAAATGTTTAATGTAATGTGAACTTGCATCATTTCTGAATCATTTTCATTTGTTTATCAAGTCTGCCATGTAGATAGGATAGATACAATTTGTTAGGGTGTGTATCCTCTTTTCCAGTCTTGTCCTGTGCACTCCTTGTCCAGACCAAATTAATTGTTAAAACCAACCCTCCAAATAATGTCAGTTTTAGACCAATTTTACCAAAGAGTCAATTTTCGTTGTGTTGTGACACTGTGTCGCCGGGCAACTTGTTTTGCCCAGTTTTTTTCCGTTTTCTGTCTTTGACTATTGTTTGACGGGAAACATTCTCAAGAAACCCCCCTCAGAAGTCAAAGTGGTAGCACCCAGGAATAAGCAACAGACACAGTTTTGTGGGGTGCGCCACTTTAGGAGAGGGGGTGTTGAAATGGTCTCATACCAGGGGTTTGGTCCCTGTGCAAACTGCAGCTGTATGTTGCTTTTAGCTAGCCCCATAGATGGCTCTATTTTTATTGTGCAAATGCATTATGTGCTTACGTAGGTAGGATTAATGTTAAGTGTATTATGTTAACGTACGGTAATTAGAATGATCGCAGTGATCCAAAAAAATTGTTTTTCCCCCAGTTTATTTGGGGTGAATAATGCCACTTTTGTGTTTTACGAAATTGTGAGAAAGAAAACGCTAACAATCTTGACCAAGTACCTAATAAGGACACAGCACTGATCAGTACCATGTCGTAACCCTAATGTTAACGTGCTTCTGCCTTAGCTAGTCTCCGTACTATGCAGTATAAGTAAACAGACTACTGCGTCGTTTGATTCCAAAACCCTCGATTAACCTGTAACAGTTGTAAATGAAGATTTCTTCGTAATTGAAGACAATAATTAATGTGCTGTACAAAGAAAAATGATAAATCAATTAATGACTAGTGCGCTCAAAATTTGTAGTGTTTAAAAACCTGCTGTTAGGAGAAAGAAAAGACAAAAATGCCAAAAAAATGTGTCGATTAAGAAGGGGAAAAAAACAACAGATAAGGGCAACTATTTTTCTGAGAGATTTTGCCGGAGTTGGGAAGTTTTAGCCTTATTGGAAAGCTACACCAAACATAATCGACAACAAATACACTCCCAGCTACAGCTGACTTGGAAGCTTTAACAGAGGCAAATATAAACTGTTAGAAGGATTGTCACACACAGAAAGCTTGAGAGCTGTGATTGTTTCAGTCTTGGGGCCCAGGCCCGTTTGTGGTAGGTTTGTTGTACGATCGTTAATTTGGAGAATGCATGGATAGAATCTTGCCGGCGGTTTGTTCTGTCACAACATGATTCAAATTCTATGATATCAAAATACGACAAAAGAGACTGTATCGTCACCAAAAAAGGTATTAATTACTAAATTAGACTGGTAAATGATTTTTATGAATTTCTTTTTAAGATTTTTTTGCTGTTAGCAGTGTGATTTAAACGATAGACAAACTTGTGACTTCTTTGACTTGACAAAGCGTTTTCCAACATTGAGATCAGAGATCACATAAATCACATTTTGATTTCTTGAATATTTGACAGTTAATACCAATTAAAAAGCAACAGAAGTTTCAACTGAAAACCAAAATCTCAGCTTTCTGTGTGTCGGGCATCCTGGGACTGGATCAGCAAGGAGTGGGGAGGGGGGCAAGAGATGGAATTTTTGTGTTACTGAAATTGGTGTTTTTCGAGTTTCACATCTACTTGTTTATTTTTTCTTCTACTTGTTTGGAGGGTGCCAAGGCCAACCAGTTATGAAAACTGGAAAGGATTCCCACCCCAGATGCCCCCCTCCCCACTCTCTCCTTGCTGGACCAAGAAAGAATCTAATATACCAAAAAAAGTTGGACTGCACCCTCTCTTTATAGATACAACAGTGGGTAGGATATGTCAAACTGCTTGCATTTTTCCCAAAGTTTTGCATGACTGTAAAATTCCAAAGCAATATGCTGACCACTTGGAAGTGCCGGAACTCCACACAAACCAAACAGACTCAGTACGTGGCCTTGTTTTTACAAACTAAGGCCACTCCGATTTGATTTGTTGGTTCTCAGATTTTTGCATGAAATCAACGAAGCCACAAAAAAAAACAGCCTAGGCATCCCATTATAGCCCCAAATAGGCACTACAGTTGAATAAAGTCAACACACTAGGCTTGTTTGTTATGAATTTTGAACTTTCAATCAAATAGATATCTTGATCAACGGAGAAACTGTAACAAGTAGGAAGACAAGAACTGTTGGTGCCAAAATATGTGCATTTTGGGATTGATTCACAACCTGAATGGTATATGTAATATATTTTATTTCGCAAACCAGAAAAGACTGAAACCAGCATCCAAGAGAACCAAGAAATTAAATTGAGGTGGCCTATTACTACTCCAAATGACAGTGAAGCCAAAGTCAGATTCAGACACAGATCAAAGATGTCCTGTACAGCTGCTGTGGCCTGTTTCTACAGTTGTTTTATCATGATTCTGCATATCTCTTTCCTGTATATTGTACACCAGTCTTCATTCTTAGTGTATGTATGTAGTCTTTAGAGTTAAGTTCACAAGATTCAAGCAAGAAGTTTGCATTCAAGCAAGAAGCAGTTGCATGCATTTCAGCAAGGAGCAATTTCAGTCTTTGGCATCAAAATCACCACATCTTTGTGTTCTCGTAGATAGAAATAAGTCAAAGAAAGAAAATAAGAGGGCAATTGACATAGCAATTGTAATTGATTAAGATTTTTGACGAGTTTAAACATATAACAAAACAAAACTCAGTGGCAAACTCCTCAAAAAGCTATAATTTGTTGCAATGAAAATAGTATGGTGCATCATATTAATGTGTTCAACTTTGAAAAAACATTCCTTTAAGTGTCCTGTTCATCATCATAAAACCTGGTTACATTGGTATTTTTTTAAATACCAGGGGCACTTTGCTATTGAATGACAATAACTTGAGGGTGCAGTCCAACTTTTCCATACATACAGACTTTAAATCGCCTTACCTCCTCACAAATACCGAAGTACAACTCACTTTAACACTTTCACCAAAGAGTATCCAACATCTACAGTCAAACCAAGGGATTTTTCTGGACTACACACATAACTAACCTCAACAATTCTGCAGGCTTTGTGATTACAATGAAATCCAGTGAAGAATCTAGAATTATAAGTAGACCTAGTGCTAAAGGCTCAATGCTTGCATACAAACGTAATCTTTTCTCTAGAGGGCCACAGCACAAAACTTGGACGTAGCTTTCAAATAAAAATACATTTTACCACCCAGTCTTCTGATGTATTTCATGTCATTGTTTTTGCCACAAAATCAAGACATGTAATCTAACGCGAAGCACATTTATAAGGCTCTGGTAAAATGTAACCCAAACATAACTGGATCCACCTCCCTATAGATGGATCTATTTGTGTTAACAGTAGTTTATCATGTGCACAAGATTTAGTGAAGTCATAGGTAGGGGGAGAAAAGATACACAAGTTGATCTCAATTTCACGAAAACAAAGACTGGGAAAAATATTTGCATTTCTAAGCTTGCTCAAAGTTTTGCTGTGGCTCTCTGTAGATATCTGCCAATGCAACTTTGCAACAGTGAATGTGTTCGTAAATGTCACCAGGCATGGAGTACCTACATACATGTATGTGAACTTTGGGGAGCTCACAACAAGAGGACGATTAAAAATTGTGGATAATTAGATAGACAAAAGGCCATGTAATGGTTCGGTTCAAGTTGAGCAATCTGGGATTTATAAAGAGTAGGATGGAGACTGTGTTAACCCAGGTTCTGGTGTAACAGAAGCAGCAAAGATCATTCCAGAATTGTCGCGTCCTGAGTTGGTCGCTCCCTGACCATGGATGCCTGTATGTTGTGTTCAGACCGACCACCTTGTGATTTTCCTTATAATGTTTGTGTGAGAGAAACTGTCGGGATGATATTAAAGAAATGTTCACGTTTTTAGTTATGTTTTCATCTAGACCATGGTTTGTACACAGTGTGGAATTTGCAGGGAATTTCTTGAGCCTGTTTTGTCTTGAGTTCAGGAAAGATCTTGCGATGTCGTAGTCATTTCTTGTAGGCCACCGGCAATCGACTGACAGATAGAAAGCTCGAAAAGAGGATCTAGGAGTACCCTCTCCAAAAAGCCATTTTGTGTGGTTGAAAATGCTCAAATCGAGTTTATAAAGGTGCAAAATGGCTCAGGAACCTCCTGGAAGTTCCGCATTGTCTCTCTGTACGGACTGAACCATCTTTTGCTGATTTGTGAAGCCAAGTGGACAGAGATAGGATCATTTTTTGTTGTAGAACACAGATATATCAATGTTGCAGTCAGTCAGTATGTTGTAGTTTTGTTGGTAGTTTTCAAACCTCCAAATAAGGCAAACATGGCGGTAGAATAGTCGCTGTTACGAACAGGTGACGCCAAAGGCACAAGCTTATAGATAGGAGAGAAAACAACAATTGGACGCCACAGAGATGGCGTCGAACGGTTTCCGCTTGATAAAACATGCTGCTAATGTGGCTTTGCGACAGCAATACTTACAGAAGACCTTCCTGAGTTGAGTAATGTGATCTTTGAAATAATATTTACCAAAGCAAAAGAATTTGCCCATTGTCTTGCTTGTCTGTCCTTGTCTCTGTCTGGAAGAATCCTCCTCGTGTATTCTCCAGTGGTTGATGTGGTCATCGTGAACACACAGACTTTGTGATCATCGTTGCAGAGGTATTGTTAAACCCACAAAACCTTCAGTCATCTGACACACCCAAGAAATAATCCTGTCAAAAAAGTTGACCAGATTGTGCTTCATTGATCATCTTTGGGCAGCAGAGAAATTGGACATTTTTATTCCACAAAAATTGAAGATGACAAAGACTTTTGGGTTTGACACTAACGCGGCAATACTGGCATTAGAATAACAAGAATATGCTTCACTATTTTTTCTGTGAAATGCTAGGACGATCAGCAAGGTAAAAAGAAGACAAGATGTTTGTAGAAACTCCATTAGATAAGACAAAAATAATTCTCAACAGGGTCTGCAGTGGTAGAAGTACCAAGTAGCGAACTGGACAGCAAAGACTGCTTGTTGTGTTGTGTTATCAATGGTCCAAGATACCAAGAGCTAACATAAACTGGTGCTTATACAAAAATATGCTTCTTGTATCGTCTTCATTTGTTTTGAGTGTCTGTTCTTGGACAGTTATGTCTCAGCCATATTTCCAAACCGATGCTTCACCAGGTAGTTCACGGTGGGGCATCGGTTTAGAAATGTCTAGAAAAATGTCTAGAAATGTCGGAAACTTAATTTCGGTTGATCGTCGCTCCGCTATTACTTTACAGTGCTCAGTTATTATATATACTTTTATTAGGGAGATTATATATTATACCCTCAACAACGGTACCTCATAATGCTATGGTGGCACATGTGCATGACAAGTTCCCAACGATCTACTGCCTGGCCAAGCTGATACTGTCTTTTGCGGCCACCGAAAGATCTGCTTGGAGATTAGCCATTTACAATGACTTGCCCATTCTTTAATACCCTAACCAAATGTTTATTCCAATCCTTTACAACAAAAACTATGTTTTCACACCTTATTAATCAACCCATTCTACTTCAAGTGGTGCGAAGAATGCCATCTATCAAAAATACAACAATTCATATCCGCGGGCGTGGTGAAAAAGATACAAGCCCGCTTATTTGTGAGTCAGATACGGCATAGTTCGGGGTGCTTAAAGACCCATTTATAATCCCTCCGCAAATAAATAACAGACAGGACTATGGTATCTGATCGGTTGTTAACGAAACCATATTGCATGTAAACCACGACAGGTTTACCGCAATGCGAAGCTAAACAAGTCTGCGATTGA